TTAGAGAGGCTGCACAACCAGCTTGCAATTTCAAATGCCACCCAGGTTTCCTCCCCCCTCACGCCCCTCCCCCCCCCCCTTAAAATGTCATCTTAATTAGATGGAGCCTGATTTCATGTTTTCTAAATTTCAAGGTAATGTCTCTAGGACATGTCTCTCCTTATGGTTATTTTTATCTTCAACGTAAGGTGAGGGGAATGGCTTGAGGCTAATCGACAGGTCTGCGGACACCCCAATCCTTCTGCTGCCCCTTGGCTCTGGAGGCTGAAAACACACTGGCCTGAGGGGTCCTGGGGAAGGCAGGGTTGTGAGGTCTGCTGGGGTTCTCTCCTCCATTTAATTCAACACAATACTGCTTGGGCCTTTTTCCCCTTGGGAAGCCTGGGTGGGCCTGGCCAGTACACCCCACTCCCCTTACCAGCCCACTCACCAGGCAGCCCACACCCTCTTCCTCTCAGTTTATTCCTTTCTTCCCTGCCTAGACCGCTGGCTGAAGGAAAGTGTCCCCAAGTGTGGGCCACTGGGGACCCTGCATTGATAGCAATGAATTACACAATTCTCTTTCATGAATTCTGACTAATGGTGGGTAATAAAGCCTCACTTTGGCACCACCATGTCTTGACACCCCTAAACACGTGCTAATCATCGCTTTCAACAAAGAGGGAACAGGTTACTTAGGACCGGCCCCCTCTGGTCTCTGAGGCATTTTCAATATACTGACCCACAACCCAACCCTGTCCTCAAAGAGGAGGTCAGGGAAGGCCCCTGTTAGGAGCTGAACTGTACCCCCAAAATTCGTATGTGGAAGTCCCTATCCCCAGTATCTCAGAATATGACTGTATTTGGAGGCAGGGTCTTTAAAGAGGTGATTAAATTAAGATGAGGCCATTAGGGTGAGTCCTAGTCCACTGTGACTGGTGTCTTCATACAACGAGATTAGGGCACAAACAAGGAAAAGACCATATGAGGACACAGAGAAGACAGCAATCTATAAGACAAGGAGAGGACTGTGGAAAAATAAAGTTCTGTTGTGTAAGCCACCCAGTGATCCTTTGCTACGGCAGCCCTAGCAAACTAATACAGCTCCCAAGATGGGGCCCTTCTTGGGGCAGGGAGTGAGGGTTTTTCTCTCCATCATTCCAAACGCTATCGTCAAGGCTGTGTAAGGTCTGGATCCTACCTCCCCTTGAACCTCATCCTCAGGCACCTCGCCCTCGCTTGCCACCTGCCAGCCTTCCTAGGCTTTGCACACACACGCCAAGTTCATTTCCACCTCAGGGCCTTTGCACGGGTTCCTCCTGCTACCTCAAATCTTTGTGAGATTCGCCCCGTCTTATTTTTCCAGTCTCAGTTTAAAAATAACCCTGACCCACCCCACCCCCCCCGCAAAGTTTTCCCTGACAGCACCCCATACCCCCCATCTAAATCAGATTCCCATGCCAGCATTGTTTTCTCTAATAGCGCTTATCACAATGTGTAATTAGATATGTTTGTCTCCTGGCTGACTATTTCTCCTTCTAGGGAGATTGTGAACTCCATAAGGGCAGGGCCTGCTTCTGCTTTGTTGACTATAATGGTTCATTTGCAAGGTGCTGCTTGTGGAATGAATGAATTCTAGGCCATAATTTGAGATGGGCACCAGGTGCCATCTCCTTGTCCTGGGAAGGCCCGGCAACACCAGGGTGAGCCATCAGGGAGCAGAGAAGGGACCACCTGGAGATGGCTGTTAAGGAGGTCACTGCTCACCTCAACAGGAAACCTGGGAGGGCTGGGGTACAGGGCAGGCCACTCAGGAGGGGAGCTGAGACATCACAGAGGTGAACAGAAATAGGGTGCTGTCCTGGGTGGCACAGGGCAACTGGGGAAAAGGGTGCTGGCTCCGCTCCAGCAGAGGTGGCCAGGGTTGTCCCCGGGTGCCTGCCTGTCAGCTGCATCTGCATTGGAATGCACGCGCAGGGACGGGCCAGCTCACCAACGCTCGGCCGGTCCAAGATGGGTGGGTGGCCAGCGAAATTCTGAAACTGAGCCATGCGTGATACAGAGCCGTTTGTAAGGGTCAAGGGGTTTGTGCTATTATCTACATTTCAAATTCTTTAATATTCCTTTTAAGGAGTTGTCTGGTTTGGAATGTCGCAAAGGAAAACAGAAGAAGGAACATGAGCTACAGAAAAGTGGAGAGTGTTTTTCTACATTTAAAAAAAAAAAGAAAAAAGAGGAACTTAGAAACTGACTTTTGACTTGAACTTTGTATTTATGTTCACATGCGCTCCTCCCCCCTCAGGAGGTGTGAGGAAACAGTCTTCTCTTGTTACGGATGATGACTAGGAAAGCCAGCTCCCCCAAAGTTAAAATGTGATGGTAAGTTCAATGCATCTTATATAGCCCTTATTTTAAACAGTAAAGAAAAAAATTTCATGAATAGAAAATCAACGTCTCCCTGGGCCCGCTGAACAAATGATGAACATCTCAAGAGGGGCCAGCGATTCTCTTGCCTGGGATGGCCGCAGGGCTTGGGCAGCCCTGGAGACAAGACTGGAATTTGGGGCAAGGTCTTCAGCAAGGACTGAAGAGAACATAGGTGCCCAGCGTGGTTGGCAAGGCCCCCGAGGATCAAGTGAGGCGGAGACAAGGGGCTGATCGAAGTCGGGGATGCAGGACCTCTGCTCCTCTGATGAGGGAGGCACTAAGTGTGGCTCCCCACCTTCTAGGGGACATGTTTTCAGGTCTCTGACCCGGATTCTGGGCTCCTACATCAGGGTCCCTCCTGCCTCCAGGATCTAGCACCAGACTGGGCACACAGCTGGTGCTCAGTCAGCATTTGCTGAATGAATGAGCTTGGAAGGGAAAGTGCCCAGAAGCACTGCACCAGGGGGTTAGAAGCCCTGGGCTGCAGTATACGTATTCTCTCCTCTGGGGCCTCCGAGGTCACTTTCCTGCTGTGCTCTGTGACATGAGGGAGCTGCACTGGGTAGACCAGAGATGCAAGCTGGCCTCAATCTGAGGGCCAATTTTGATCAGCTGCAGTGGCTGCTGGGGGTGCTGGCTGCACTGAGAGGACTCCGAAGCCAGGGTCAGTGCTGTGACTGATCAACGGTGATGCCCGGGACAAGGGCTGGTGGCCGCAGCCGTGCCGCTCTTTGGATGTGATCAACTCTGAGGTCACTGTCAAGCATCACAATTGGTGACACTGCAACAGGCATGCTAGTGCGTAAAATGCCCGACAGTCACAAGGGGCTCTCCTACTCCAGGGGGTGAAACCTCTATCCCAGGCCCTGCCACCTAAGACCCTAGGAGGGTCTTCCCAATGTTCCCCACGTCATGTCTACACAGAAAATGATGGCACCTGTACAGCACCTTCAGTGAGCACAGGAGGGGCGCCCCTAGGCACACCTGTCACCTATGTGGTGCGCTGGGACACGCTGGTGGAGCGCCCTTGCTCTGGGAAGGCTTGTACCGCCATACCTCGCTGTCATCTGAGGTCCTGCACTGGGCTCCAAGTGGCACCGGTCATTTGCCAAATGAGCTTCCATGAGTCGGTCTTGAGAACGAGACAGTGATCTCTGTGTGGGGCGGAAGCTGTGTCTTTCCTTGGTGCACCGCACCCCAGCCATGGGACGGGCATAGAGCTGGACGCACCAAAGGTCCCCGGGGTGACACTGTGTCAAACTGTCCGGAAGTGGCGGAATTGGTGGCCGCAGGCTGCTTATGGCTCCTGTGGCCCTTCTCCGCTGACCTGATCTTGACTGACCTGGGAGGTCCTGTTGTGGGAGTAGTTCCAGAGACGGGGTCTGGATGTACCAAGGCTGGGGCGCCAGGCAGCGTGCATTGGGTGTGTCACAGTATTTCAGCCTCCCAGAAAAATTTTACGTAGAATTATTAACAGATGAAAAAAAGTGGGGTTTCCCCCCCCCCCCCCCCCNTGGGGCGCCAGGCAGCGTGCATTGGGTGTGTCACAGTATTTCAGCCTCCCAGAAAAATTTTACGTAGAATTATTAACAGATGAAAAAAAGTGGGGGTTCCCCCCCCCCCCCCGTGATTCATTCAAGTCATTATAAAGGAGCTGTTTTTAATAATTTAGGGCAAGTAAGAAAAGAGGAATGTTAGGACAAGCCATAAATAAGAAGCTGAAGACACAGGTGGGGTGAGGACTCAGTACACACAGTGATGATATCAGTAACATGGGTTACAGGCCCAGCAGCAGGTAGGCTGGTAGGCTGGCCCTGCTCAGGGCAGCTCTCAGCAGCAGCCAGTGTGTGACGCCCCCGTCACATGGGGCACTGCTCACCACAGAATGGAGTTTGACTTATTCCAAGTGTGGTGGGAAGCCATGGGAGGGCTTAAAGGAGGGGAGGCAAATGATATTCTGGTTCTGAAAGCTGACGGTGACTGCTGTGTGCAGCCAGGCTGGGTTAGGGAGAGCTGGGAGAGTGGGCTCCGAGAACACCAAGGGGGCTGGTGCAGTCATCAGACGAGATACGACCGAAGTTTGGAACGTCAGAGCAGGAAGGGCCCTTAGAAAAGATGCCATCTATGACCCCTCGTCATGTAAGTTGGGAGACGCAGAGAAGAGGAGGTTAGATCAAGGTTATAGGGTCACTGGTAGCTCCTGGCAAGAGGGTGGGAGCAAGCTCAGGCTAGCTGGGAAGCAAGGCTTGTGGGAGCGAGGGAGCCCTTTAGGGAGAGGCCACAGTTTCAATTACCAAATGGCTGGGGCCCAGGGAACCTCAGTCTGCCTGGGCTGGCCCTGGGGTTCCCAAGAACTGAACATCGCAGGTGGAGAGGGGGTGTCAGGCTTAGAAAGAGCAGATTCTGAGCTGCAGACTGAGAAGGCTGTTTGCATCAATGTGAGACTGGACACAGGTGGCACTGACCAGATGAGGCTGGCAGGACCCGAGGGCAGGGCACTCGGGGTCCCAGGAGGTTGGACCCACCTGTTCCTCCAGACATCAACACTGTGAGAGTAACTGGACCCTGGCTGGAAGCAGGCTTAGCCTCTGAGACTCAGGACAGTCATACTTTGCTTCATTGCACTTCACAGATGTTGCATTCTTTACAAATTGAAGGCAAGACCCTCCACCAGCAAAAGGATTGCAACTCAGTTTATTGCGACACTTGCTTCATTGTGACAGTTGCTTTATTGCGATGATCTGAAACCGAACCCACAACAATCTCTCTGAGGGATGCCTGTCTGTGCATCTGTAAAATGGGGATAACAGCATAGATCTCAGGATGTTGTGAGGGTTAAATGAGTGCAGTCAAGTGCTCAGCATGATACCTGGTAAGACTTCAACATGATGGCTGCCGGCCACCGTAGTTTGTTCATCACTTATATCTAGAACTGCTGTGACTGAACTGTCCATCACTCGAGCAGAATGCTTCAGCTACGTCCCACTTGGAAGAACCGCATAGTAAAACAAGTACAAATCAGGGGTTTGGCTAAAAATAACTCACCAAAACAAACAGAAAATCGCAACTAAATAAATTAAAAATACCACAATTTGCCTTCACACACAGGCACACACAGCGTAATGATGAAAAAAGTTACCCGCTTCTGTGATCAGTGCTTAGAGGGTCAACAGAAAAACAGCTCCACCTACTACGGCCTCTTCATTCCCCAGATACGTAACCGAGAGCAGGGCCGGCGAAAATGAGTGACGGGTCCAAGGCCCCAGAGCGGCACGCTAGAGTGGGGGTGTCTAGATCTTTCTGACCCCCAAAGCCTGTGCTTTTGCCTCTACCACACCACCTCTGGAAGGGCCTCATCCTGAAAAGCACATCTGGGTCACCCCGATGTACTTAATGAAGTGTGTTACACAGTCCATTAATATTCTCGGGGGCTTGAAATCAAAACCCCTCAATCGCCTGTATTGCTCTAAGTGGACCTGAGCTCCGTTTTCTAGACCACTATGGCTATTTGATATTGTTAACCAGTGTCCAAGCATCAACCACTGTCAACATCAGCTGGCCTATGTTCACGCTGGCCACACCAGCTACCATCCCAGCTCTGAGACGGCTGAGGGAACATGGCCTCACACTGGGTTCAGACAGATGAGCCTGTAGCCACTTGGCAGTGAATGGGTTGGTGAGAACGCTGCCTCAGGGGACCAGTGGTGGCAAGTGCCAGGCTTCTGGAACTAAAACTGTTGTTTGCTGGAACTTTGACAAGGTAGTGGGACACAAGTCAAGCTCTCTAATTTGTAGAATAAGGTTGAAGTAAGATTCCTACTGGTAGCCCCCTGAAGGAGTGCAAGAAAACTTAGGAAGTTCTGTGGTCCTGCCACTGACCTGCCGTCAGCTCCATCAAGGGCTTTTGAGCCAAACTTAGGGTGTGACTTTCAGACCTTTTGTATAAAAGCTTATATTTTTAAAAATACTCTTTTTGCTTTTCAGGAGTAAGCCAGATGTGAAATCATTCCATTTTATAGATGAGGAAAGTGAAGTCTGGAAGGAAAATATTTTAACGAGTGAGGCACTTGGAGATGGGTAACCCTAGATTTTTTTCCTGGCTCTGCCACTAAAGATGTGACCTCACCAAGCCTTAGCATTCAAGTCTGTTAAATAGCTCCAACTCCCCAGGGTACTGTAAGGGTTAAAGGAAATAATACAGGAGATAATATCAGCACAGGGGGAACAGTCAGTAGATGTCAGCTGTGGCTGTGTCACACGGTTGGCCAAGAGTGAGCAGTGGCAAGATGCTAGGTGCTTACCACTTTGACTTCAAGCAGTCACCCATTTCTTGCACCCATTTCTTTAAGTCCTCTGCACTGCAGGACTACTGTCTGGCTCTCCTCGTTTATTTGTTAGTTTGTTTTTCTTCTCTAAACTCTAAGCTTTGTGAGAATTACTCTTCTCAGCTAGCAGCTTCATGTCTGGCACAGAGCAAGTTTTTAATGTAACTTTAGGATTGTAGGAGGCCTCTTGGAGATGTGAGGAGAGCAAGAGCCTTTCTCTTTAGGGAAGGCACACTGTCAAACCCACACACAGACCCACACAGCCGAATACACAGGTGCACGCACGCATCACACACAACATGGACACATGCGCACGCTCACACACACACCAAGCTGCCTTTTATTTCTGGGGTTGCAGCCCCCAATCCCTGGTTAGAAACCTGGCCAACTATAAAACACAGGGACCTGCCTGGTTTCTAAGTCCCAAGATTTGTTCTGATTGGTTGGGGAGATTGTGCCCCTCCCCAACCCTCGGGGTTAAACTGGGCATATTTATCCCGGTGGAGTCAGTAATAAGCCTGGCAAAGTGGCGTGTGTGACGATTTCCCTTCTGCTGAAGATGCTGTTCCCTCACTGTCTCTATTGCGTGGAAGAGGCCCCTCTGCTCGCTTCCCATGCAAATTTAATAATGTTCTGAAACCTCGGTCCCACATAAATATAAATGTGTTTCCAACTCTGAGGCTGCAGTTATCAGGGGATAGCTTTCCGAAATCATTCAGGGAGTTATTTGATATACTGAGTCAACAGCTTATTGGAAAAAGTGATTCAGAGACAAGAAAGAAAGAAAAAAAAGAAAGGGTTGGGAGGGCCCTGGGGTGGGTGGGGCTGGGTGGGGCAGGCTGCACAGGGAGCCCTTGGCACAGGCAACTCCTCAGTCACATGCAGCATCACGCCAGGCCCTTTCTGAAAAGGCTTCTATTTGAGAGGATTAGACACAGCCAATTGGAGGAAGCAGGCCCAGGGCCCCACCTCCCCAGTGCGGAATTTGCCTCCATTAACCCTTCAGGAAGGAGCCAGGCCAGGCGTCCCTCTCCAGTGGAGAGGCCCCAGGAAGGCTGGCTGACCGAAGCCAGCGCTGGGGCTTCACCTGGAGCATGAAGGTGAGGGCATTCACTTGGGCTGTGGGCTCTGGGCCTGGCTGGGGCAGCCGATGTGCCTTTGGAGTCCAGCAGGCTGGGGTCTTGGTCCTGGCTCTGCCATCTATCAGCGGTGTGACCATGGACGAGTCACTCAACCTTTCTGAGCCTTAGTTTCCTTATCTGTACAATGAGCATAATCATATTACTTCCCTAGCTCACATGGATAAGGCAAGCTTTCCCAAACTACAATTGTTCCTGTTCTACTTTCATAGTTTCTGTGTAAGACTCCTGGCCTTATGTGCATAGTAAGTGTCTTTTACTTGACTCACTTAAAAAAAAAAAAATTAAGCCTCTACTTTGGCCTGTTCTAATATCTGGGCGATTGTGAGCTAGACGGGCTACCTACTTGTTTTCCGAATTCATATAAAAATGAACATCACTATTAACGTGAAGCATGTCAGTTAGAGTAACGGCAGAACAAGTGTCTGGCACAGAGCCAGGGCTGTGTGCACTCCACGTGTGGTGTAGTTGTTACCCGGCTGTCATCACTGTCACTCAGAAGTGCAAGTGGACGAGGGGTGACAGTGAGTCTATCCAGGCACCTTCCTCAAGAACCCTTCCCCCATCTGGGGTACAATCCCCTTCCTGCCAAAGCCTGGATCCCAACCAAGGTTCCTCCTTTACCTGCCCCTGACCCCACCCCCACCCCCACTTTCCCATACTACCGCATGTCTGCACACATAAATAATCGTCGTACACAAATATAACGTTTTAAAAATTGTCTAGTTCTACATAAAGGAGGGACTCTGCCTAGCCCAGCTGCACACATGTTCTCCATCTTCACAGCTCCCTCTCCCCCAATTTAGCAAAACCTGAACTTCTAAGGAGGGGAAAAAATACTCCATCCAGCACTGCCTGGTTATTTGTCAGTTCTGCCTAGCTGACTAACCCAGAATTTCCTAATTACAATTGCACCAGGAAGCTATAACAGTTTCATTAAAAAAAAAAAAAAAAGGAAGGAAGGAGAAAACCCCCCAATTCACACCTTAGAAAGAATGCTCACCTTGTAAACACAAACTAACAAGCCAATCAAAGCGAGTGCACAGTGTCTGTGGCCTCTGTGTGCAGAGGAATGGGCTTGGGTTGGACTCAGAAGTCCCAGCGTCAAGTCTAGAATCTGCAGGCACTTGACCTCTCTGAGCCTGGGGGCCAAGGTGAGGCTGCTGTGTGGATGGGGCAAGGTGGGGCAGAGAGTGAGTGCTTTTGTGAAGTGTGGGGCGTCACGTGGACATCAGAGGTGGGAGTGTTTTCTGGTGTGGGTGGGGCCTTGACTGAGCTGGGGTGCCGGTGGAGTTTATCTGACCCCACCCTCCTGGAAACAGGTATCCCAGGTCCTCCCCCGCCCTCTCCACCCCTGTCTGTTTTCTCAGTTAGCTGATGGCTTAGCCCCACTGGGAGATGCTTTTCCCTCCAGGGGTACCAGTACTTTAACCAGGATTCCTAGAGACCTAAAAACCTTTAAAACCCAAAGGCCTCCATCTCCAACTGGGGCACTCTGTGCTTGGGGGAGACACTTTTCAGTGGGGCCCCAGCACCACGCTTGGATAATATGCCCCTTGTAGGAAGAGTTCTGGGATGGCCACAGCTTCCCAAGAATGGGGGTCCTTACATTTTATTCCTAGGGAAGGACCTTGGGTCTCAGAACCAGCTCAGACTCTGACCCGGAGCCTGGACCAGCTCCCATCATAGGCCCTGTTCGGTTTCCTAGAATTATCTGAAAAAGCAAGGTGCTGTGGCTGGAGAGTAAGGTTTGCTTTCCAGCCCCACCTGCCCTAGGCCCTTGCTGCTAGGGGCCCAGCAGGCTCTAGGGAGAGGCGACCGCCTGTGCAGAGGCACCCCAGGGGCCCCAGTCTGTTGACGGCTTGATCCTTAGCCTCAGCAGCTGTGTGTTTGTTCCCTGGGTTAGGGCTGGGAGCAGCCAGAGCCCAGCCACCCTGCAGAAGCTGCTCCAAAGTGACCCGTGAGCCACTTCTGTATCGCTGTTCTCGCCTGCGTCCTTGAACGCAGCCCTTGTCCAGGGCCACTCTAACTCCACTCCGCATGGGAAACAAATGCTTCTCCCTTCAAGGCTGAAGGACTCTGTTCAGCTGAGCTCAATTCCGGAGCCCGTCACCCTGGCAACGGGTCTTTGGGGGATTTACATCTCATGCATCGCAACAGGGGAACAGCCATTCAGCAAGGTGGGGGGGGACCCCACAACACAAAACCAATGTGCCCCCTCCCCCCCTCCCCCAAGAGCGCAGCCACAAAACAAAACTGAATCAACAACAAAAATTTCCCACAAGCCCATTTGGCCTTGTCTGGCAATCAGCCAAACAGGAATTCAAACTTAATCAAACTTTCATGTCTTCCTTGTAAAGCTCAGGAAATCAGTAATTGGTTTTATAATTGAATTTTCTGATCACGTATCAAAGGAATGGGTCCTGCCAAAGGCCAAGGGAGGGCCTGTCTCCAGTAAGGACAGCCAAGGCGGCTCTGGGAGGTAGAGGAGGAGAACTAGCTGCTGGTGGGCTAAGAATAGAGCCTGTTATTTATAACCAGCGAGGCTAGGGAGAGCCAGGCCTTGCCCTTACAAAGTGGTGTCCCCCAAACACCCACCCCATGAGCCCTGGGTTTCTGATTTCTTTAGCAATGGCAGCCGCCACAGACAGGGTGGGAGATGGGGAGGCAGAGGGCAGGGAGGCCATCTTGGTGGCTCTGTGGGAAGGACGGAGGCCTGCCCTGGGCAGGGGCTGGGCCGAGGGAGGAAGGGGCTGAGGCAAGAGCCATTCTGGACTAGGAGGTAGGACCTAGGAGGGCAGGGAGGAGTCCAAGGTGTTGTGCCTGAGTAACTGGGAGGAAGCGCGTGTTTTCAGCATAAAGAAGGAAGGGAGAAGAGGCCAGCTCCTGAGCGGCTGGGTCTGCACGGGCTGGGCCGGGTACTGATGGGCCTTAGGAGCCAGACTGCTAACAGCCTGATTTTGTGTGCCCTCGCTGGGTGCTTTACAGCCATCATCTCATTTAATCTTCACAGCAACCCGAGGAGATGGTCACTTATCGTCTCCATTTTACAAATCAGAAAAGCCAGGCTCAGAGAGCAGGGGTGAAGCAGCTGCGATGGCTGGTGAGCCATGGAGCTGGGACTCAGACCCAGGACCGTCTGACCCCAGAGCCCACGAGCTCAGCCCCTAATGCCACGCCAGCTCTTTTCCTGCAGATAAGAATATCTCACAGCCGAATCGAAATAGTTAGAAAGGGCTCCTGACACGTAGAAGGGAGGTACGGGTTAGAGACAGAAGCTTGAGAGTCAACAAATCAACATTTATTGGTTAATCTGTTTTAAAATGTTCATGGTAGAGCAAGCCACAGACAGGAGAACATAATCACAGTACATACATCTGACAAAGAACTGTTTCCAGGGTATATCTTTAAAAACCTCCCACAACTCATTAATAACGAGACAAACAACCCATTAAAAGGGAAGAATAAAAGATGTGGACAGATATTTTAAAAGGAGAATATATAAATGGCCAAAAAGCACATTAAAAGATGCTAAATGTCACTAGTCATCAGGGAAATGCAAATTAAAAGCACAATGGAATACCATCACATACACACCGGAAAAGCTAACCTGAGAAAGACTGACGATTCCAAGTGTTGATGACAGCGTGGGACAACAGGAACTAGCATGCATTCTAAATAGCACTCCACTTTGGACAGCAGTTTGGAAGTTTCTTATAAAGTTAACACAGCCTTACCATGTGACCTAGCCATTCTACCAAGAGAAGTAAAAACGCACGTCTACACAAAAACCTGCGCATCAATTACTCATATTAGCTCTAGAGCGGAAATAACTCAAACGTCCATCAACAGATGAATAGAAACAAAATGTGATATCTATACCTTGGGGTAAGTTTGAAGCTTGCATCACTTGAAATAATCTCGTACCCACCAAACTATGTGTGTCACATGGGAGAAACAGCGAAGCCACGGGAGAAGTGTCTAGAACACTGTGTGGTCGCAACAAGTGGAACCAAAGTCCCCGAGCAGTCATGCCTGTAGGTATCAAAGGGCAGTCCATTATCACACAGCTGGGATAAGGGATAGAGAGGGTGAGGCTCTACCACAACGCCACCGACAAGTGCTTTTTCAGGTTGGCTCCATTGTGTCGCATGGAAACCGTGCTCTTCAACGGCTCTGGCCGCACAACCCAGCTGGGTCCCCAGCAAGGAGCAGGAAACAGGCCCAAAGGAGCCGTGAAAATGGGTCTCTCAGCACATGAGAGGCGGGCTGGGCAGGATTTGCCTCGATTCACAGCTGAGCACTATGCCAGGGACAGGCTCTCTGGGGACAGGAGCATTCTGACTTTCCTTCCTGAGGTCACAGCCGGACATTTCCCAGACCCCCTTGCAGTTAGATGCGACCAAGTCACCAAATTCTGGCCAGTGGAATGTGGCCTGGCCCCTAGAACTTCCCTTACAACCCCCCACGTGTTCTCCTTTCTCTGTCTGCTTGCCTGACGTCAGGAGTCCAGCAGAAGACCCTGAAGTCGAGGGGCCAGCAAGACCACAGACCAGGAGTTGGCTTTGACTGCATGGACCAGAGCACCTCCACCCCTCCACAAGAAACACTGAGCCCCTGAGATTTTGGAGCTGCCTGTTACAGCAGGTGAGGTCAGGCATTTTCTGGACTGTCAAGGATCTTGTGTTGCCACCACACTGGGACTTAGTCCTCGGGAAATACGAACACTTTCTTTAGTATTATGGAACGAGTAGACATTTACCAAATAGGACAGTAGAGGTAGCTGCCTTGTTGCCCATGGGCCATGTATGTGCTGACAGACACAAAGGACGGCAAATCCTAGCTGGGCAGACAAAGTGCTGGTGCCTATCTTCAGAGATTGTTCAGGAGATGCAGAGGGACAGTGCATGCAAAGCACTGAGTATACAGTGGATGCCCAGTGTATGGTGGTCTCCTCCCCGCTCTGCCACACTCATTCTTCGGGGCCATGGACATGGCTCATCACACAGCCTCAGGACCCCCCAAACCGAGGGATGGCTTAATCTGGGTGCAGCTCATGCTGTCAGTTGGGCGAGAACCTGTTGGAATATCATCCATGGAGCAGGAAAGAGCCAGTCCTGCAGCCCCAGGAGGGTGTGAGTCCCCAGGGGACAGCAGGCAAGAAAGATGAGCCGGCCCAGCAAAGAGGCCGGCCCAAATGAGGGGCTAGGGGCAGGGGTGAGACCAGAAGTGGGCGAGACTTCAAAGGACCCCGTCAAGGAACGGAAAGATAACCCACAGAATGGGAGAAAATACTTGCAAATCATTTATCTGATACAGGACTGGTGTCCAGAATATATAAAGAACTCTGACAACTCAACAGTGAGACAAATAACCCAATTAAAAACTGGGCAAAGGTTCTGAATAGACATTTCTGCAAAGAAGATATACAAATGGCTAGAAGCGTATGAAAAGATACTCACCATCCTTAGTCACTAGGGAAACGCAAATGAAAACCACAGAGATGCCACCTACACTCCAACAAGGATGGCTATCATGAAAACGATGGACAGTACCAAGTGGGAGTGAGAATGTGGAGAAACTGGAAAACAGTTTGACGCTTCCTCGGAAAGTTGAAATAGACTTACCACATGACCATCAGTTCCACTCTTAGGTATACACCCAAGACAAATGAACACAGGAGTCCACACAAAAGCCTATACGTGAATATTCATATTATGCATTATTATGATAGCCACAAAGTGGAAACCACCCAAACGTCCACCCAGCTGATGAATGTGTGAACAAAGCTGGTGCATCCATACAACAGGATAGGACTCGGTGCAACATGGATGGACCTTGAAAACACTCTGCTAGGTGAAGGAAGCCAGACACAAAAGACCACATATTGTGCCATTTCACTCACATCAAATGTCCAAAATAGACAAGTCCATAGAGACAGAAAATAGACTCGAGTTGCCAGGGGTTGGGGTGGGGGGAATGGGGAGTGACTGCTAATGGGAATGGGGTTTCTTTTGGGGGGTGACTGCCCTCTGTGCCCTGCCTGAAGAGGGGCCAAGTTCCAGAGGAAGAGGCACCCCTCTAACACATGTCACTGTGTGGCCCCCACTCCCCTTCCTGTGCAGTACTAGGGGCAGAACTGTGGCTCCCACCCACTAGCTGAAAGAGTGGCCTGGGCGATGGCCCATGAACAAGCTGACTTGAGAATTCAGGTTCCAAATGCATTCTCTTCTCCATGATCTGATTTTGAACAACCC